CAGCCATCATCATTATTGTTATTTGTAAGATTGTTTGTCACACTGTCTCTTGATTTTTTTAAAAGAACCTTTAAAAAGTTTATTAATATTTGAGTAATGAGATGGGAAAGAAAGCCCAATTAAAATGTAAAATCGAGGCAGCAGCTAGTGCGTGGCAGGAAATGAGTGTTTGCAGCTCATTAATTATCAGCTTGAATGGTAAATTAGGCTTAGGTTGTCAGTGAATTTTATATAATGTACTTGAGATTTGCAGTCGTGGTGCAAAACCAGAATTGATAATTTCACTGAAGTGCTAGTTAATAATCTCACAGAATGCTGAGCAGCCCTGCAAGCAGTCTTCTTGGACCTCCATTCATCTCTTATAGATAGAAGACGGGGCCCGGGGTAAGCTGGGGTGAGGCGCCTCACTCTCAGACTGAGCAATCTCTGCAGACTGCTTAATGGAGAAAAGGCAGGTGAACTGCCTGTCAGAACAGGTCGTTCTTTATGGGTCTGGTCTTAGTATAGATTGGTATTGTGCTCAGTAAAGGTTATTTTTTCCATCTGATTAACTGTATTCTCTGGTGACATCTGTCACAAGAAGAGTTCCCAGTAGCATCTCTAATACCAGTTATACAATTCTGAGATTCTCTACCGCTGACTCTCTCAAAGGCTGGAGATCCAGGTCCAGCCTCCTCCCCGGACCCAGTTGGAGTAAGTGCCAAATGAATGGAGTACGTAGGAAAGACCTGTATTTAAGATGAAAGGACTCGGCTAGTTTTTGCTTTGCCAGTACTTCAGAGGTTGTCGTGTTTCTCTTTCTTATCATATACTTTTCAGTTCTGGTTGCAAAGGATTTCTTTTAGAAGGGGACATTTCTAGTTACTGTCATTTCTTTTTCTGAAAAGTTTTTTAAGAGCACGAAAGTGACCTCGGCAGCTGGACAGGCCCGTCTGTGAGACAGATTTAGGCCAAACGTGAATGACGACAGATAAATTGGCTTTATGGCAAATGCCTATGGAATTCATATACCAGCAAAAGCAGGACTGGACTTCCGACTTTTCCTTAGCTACTCGTACTCTAAGGGGTTATCTTGAAAACGTCTCAATCCATTCAGAGAATATGTTTCCACTGGTCTGTCTGCTATGTTTAATCATTTTGGTGGCACTGCTGTAGAAGCCAAGACAGTAACAGTTGGGCTGCTTTCACCTTCCCTCACCCAGACGACTAACCCTTCCGGCAGTCCTGCAGTAAGATCTGCCGATTCCTTTTGACCACATTGCTTGCATGACGAGAAAGGACTTCAGAGACTAATTCTGTTTGATGCTTCCCCAAGTCCGAACAAACCCCTTTCAGGAACCCCTTTCAGGATGCCAAGGAGCTGAATGATTTTCCTCTCAGGGGATCTAGAATAGACACTATGTACAAGTAAATCTTTTCTGTGAAGGAAAATAACTAACGTATTGATTTTCGAAGGTCACCACAGGGCCACCATATGAGTCACCATATGTTTCTGATGTGCCACCTGTTATACTGTGTCAGTGAATCAGCCCATAGGGCCTGGCTCAGGACACAGCCCTTACTGCTCGGGCTCTTTTCTGATTACTTTGTTTGTTAGGACAATGGCATCATAAGTGCTTGATGTAATTCAGAGCTAAAAGGCACTCGCTTCCAACATCGACTTCCTCTACTTTAAGATAAAATCTCTTACTGTATAATTCTAGAAGAGCCAAGGAATGGCAGTATCTGTTGGAACATAAATCACAGAGAACAATGACTTCGAGCCCAAATGAAGATCTATTAAAGTGTCCCTAATATACACCAAATAAGACTCAGAAATACTTAGAAAGGAGCTCATTTTACTATGGAAATTAAACATAATTAGAGCGCCATTTAAAATATTAATTATCCCTGTTCATAACAATCAGCAATCAGCAGGAGCCCAAATACCCGATAAGTTTACCTAACTAGGTAAGGAAATTTTCAGAGAACATGGAAAGAACATTTGTGTCTTAATACAAATACCTCTTATTAAATGGTGAAAGATATCTAGACAAAATTCCTGAATATCATTTTAAGCTATAACAATAGCAAAGCGTCTTAATAGTCTAGGGAAGCATTTAGCATTAGAAGAACTGCACAGAGTGTCTTTGCAAAGGTCTTAGGCTCAGCTTTGTGCATTCAGGGTAGGATTTTATCCATGAGCCAAATAATCTTAACATGAACCATTTAATGTTCTATTATTTCCATTCAGCGTCTTTAATTTGAAAAAGATCTAAAGGCATAAATAAAAAGAATGAATTTTGCTGTAGAACTAAGTATGATTCATTTTTAATGGTCAGTCATTTATTTCATAGTGCTGGATTTTGGACCAGAAACTTTTGAGTCCTAAACTTGAGTTTGAACTGCATTTATTTACAAGGTCTCTCATGGAATTGAATGCACCTTCAACAGAACCAAAGATGGTCTCATTGGAGCAGTTTCTAAAATAGCCAAAAACACAATGCAGCCCGAAAAGCCAACAACAAACAAGAAACATCAGATTAGTGAAAAATTATCAGTGGGGTCAGTAGCCTTTAAACAGGATTATTAAGATGACACTATAAAAATTGGAAAAAGGTTTAAAAGGTTCGTGGTAAGTGGAAAATAGCAAAGAGGTTTATATGCTATCGTTGCAACGGATGTAAAGAGTGGGCATGTCGCAGAAGTGAACGATAATATGCAAATGGTTGCATTTGGAAAGGATGAGCGCATTTGCTTTTTTTGCTGTATTTTTCAAAGAATCTTCTTTGATGTTATTGTGTAGAATTTTTAAGTAACACTGATGATGATAAATCCAACACTAACAGATACGTCAAATAATTGAAACCCTGGGGATTTGTTTCTCATAGTTATCCCTCATAAAATCGGCCGAGTCATAGAAGGAAGTCCGGCCGACCGCTGCGGAAAACTGAAGGTCGGAGATCAGATCTCTGCGGTGAACGGACAGTCCATTGTCGGACTGTCCCATGATAGCATTGTTCAGCTGATCAAAGACGCCGGTGTCACTGTCACACTAACAGTCATTGCCGAGGAAGGTAAGAACCAGCAGACCTGCCTTCCCCTCGCTCACCCGGGGGGCACAGAGCCCGCGGAAGGCGGCGGCGTCTTCCGGCACTGCCGGGGTCGCTGCGGTGATGGAACCGTGCGGTTTTATCACTGGAGTCTTGTGTTTTGCCTTTGCCATTTAACGAATTTAAAAGTTGATTATAAAGTCAGCAGCTCAAGAAAAAGAACCCAGCTACTGAGTGGCGCCCATTTATTTATGTACCGGGAGAAGCAAGTCCCCAGAAGTGAAAGAGATTAGAATACTTTTCAGATTTTATTTTCGTAAAATGACATCTTAAGCCTCTGCTGGAGAGAGAGGATATCCTCTGAAGAGTTCAAAGGAAGTCACTGATGGTCTTTCATGTCCAGCCATACCAAAGTGTGCCTTTCCTTGGAGGCAGGGCTTTGTTCTGGGCACTGCCTTATAAATGGGGAGACAGAACGTGCAGGGATGGCCAGTAAATAGGGCATAAAATACGAGCAGTGTCTCGCCTTGCTTGAAAGCTGCCTTTTGACCATTAAGAATTTCTAATTAGGAGCCATTTTGAATAGCACCAGTTCGTAGTCTTTGTTTACGAGTTACAAAGTAACCATTACATAATGCTCATTCGTTTTCTCTGATTTTGTAAAACTAATGAGGAGAAGCCAAAAACAGCAGAATTATGAAGGGTCAGCCTTGCATGTTGAAATCGCTCGTACTACAGTGTGTATTCGTGTCCCGTGTCCCCCGGGATCTTTTCGTCCAGTCAGTTTTCGGGTCTTTGAGTTGTCGTCTCTTCTGCTCTCTTTCTGCTGCCTCTCATACTTTTCCACCTAAGGTCTTAAATCTCCTCTCTGTCCCAGAACCCCTAGGGATCCCGAGTGGACCTGAGCTCACCTGGTGGCTCTCGGAGGCCCTTTTTAGTGCGAGGAGCCTGTGACATCCCCGCCTCTGCCCTTTTCCCTTCTCTAGTCTGTCGCACAGTGAGCCCAGACTCTGTCCCAGCCTCTGCTGACTCCTCCTCCTAAAATCCTCCTCGGTAGACGCTCTCGTGTTTTCCCACTATCTGCACAGAAGGGGTTTTTTTTTTTTTACGATTTCGCTCTCACCCGGCCTTTTAAATGTACTTCCCAAGCCCTCCCCTGAGCGAGGCCTCGTTGTCCGTGCGCGTGGGCCTCCTCTCTGCGACCCATTCGGCATCGTTCTTATATAACTGTCTCCCTGTTTAAACGGAGCACCTGCTCTTTGAAGACAAAGAAAATATTAGCAGTTGACTACGATACCTAGTAGGTGCTCCATAAATATTTTCGAATGAAGGAATGAGTAAATGGGTGAATGAATGAATGAATGAATGAATGAACAAAGTAAAAGTCAGATTTCAGTTCTGTGCCTATACCTAGCAGAGGCAATATAATCCCCATAGAGGAAAGAAGACTTTTGACAGAGTTCCCTGACACCTATTAGCTAGTCGTGTGACCTGAAACAAGCCACTTCACATTTCCACCCTTCAGTTTTTTATGTATGGAACGGGAATAATAATATCCATTTCAGGGCCATAGTGAAGACTAAAGGTGAAAACATACATAATCTGTATAAATGCCCTAAGGTTTTCATCTGATGATGGCTGTCATTATTTGACCGCATCTTTGCAAAGCTGGCTCCCTCATTCAGGTCTGTGCTGAAATCTCTCCGCCTAAGGAAATAGTAATATTTAATAAACAGTATGTGGCCGATACTGTCTTTAAATACTTTAAATCTATTAACTCATTCAGTGCTCACACTAATCTTAGGTAGGCACTGTTATTTTCCCATTCTGTAGATGAGGAAACTGAGTCACAGAGCAGTTAGATGACATGCTCATGGTCATGGAGCCAGCAGGTGACACAACCAGTATTAGAATCAGGCAGTTTGGCTGCAGAATCTGCCTCTTAACTGCTGCTCCTTCCCTAACCGCAGCTTCTAAAATAACCCTCTGCCTCCTCTCATCCCTTACCCGCTTCACCTTACCTCTACCTGAGATTATGTAACTGTTTGTTGTCATCTTCTCCACCAGACTGTAAAGTCATAAGATAAGATTCATGAAGTTAGAGATTTTGTCAGTTTCAGTGCTGGATCCTAAGGGCCTAATACAATGTTAGACACATCGTAGGTACTCAGTAGAATTTTTTTGAATGAAGAATTAGCATAATTTTGGTGAGCTTGCTTTCTCTCAGTTTCTTTACCATGATCTCCGTAGCCTGCATTTTAGCCTTAAGTTTGTTCCGTGACCCACAAAGCAAAGCAGGCTTCAGTGCCCCAGGAAGTACCACTTCAGGGTTGTCCTGAGAATGATGCGTAGAGGGCACTTGACATGCAGTCGTGGTGGAAGCTGCTAGAAGCAGTGCAGCTGGCCGTAGTACAGATAAGTGTTTCTCAAACCATCTACAGAAAAAGGCCAGTGGTTATTTTCCAGTCCATCACATTTTTGTGAAATATAATAAAAATTAAATAAAAAGTAAAAAAGATATAAAATTACTCTATCAAATCATTATAAAATTTTCTAAGTACTTTCGATATCTGTACACATCTTATTGCTGACTGACCCATGAATCTCACACTGAGTAACGCCGAGATAGATAGGTCAGTGGTAGAAAGACCACTTCTTTCTCTTAGTATATTCCCCGCCCCCAAATTACCCTTTATTGTTGATAGTGTTTTCTCTAAGTTTGTCCAAAATTGCTTGATCATTTTTCTTAGAGTAAAAGTTAACTTTGACATTCTGGCCCAATAACCTCTGAACACACTCAAGTTTTCCCATAAAATGCCAGCACTTAGGAAAATGGAAGGGCGGAAGGAACGTCCCTAGCAGATACCCACCGTAAGGTATAGTTCATATGTAGGCACAGCCCCTTATACCGTGATCACATTTGACATGTAAAATCACATTTCAGTGATTACACCTTATTTTATTATACTCTGAGTTTGATTACACTGTGGAAACATTCAGAATCGTGTTTTTCTCAGGGAAAAAAAAATAGAAAGTGTCTCTTCTGTCCATAAAAGTCTCATTCGTAGTTTGTAAGTCTTCCGAGTTTCTCATTGTATTCATTATAAAATCCATCAACTGCACCAAGAAGTCAAATGAATATTTAAAGCTCTAAAGCTGTTTTCAGAAATCCCGCAGCCAGGTCCATGCCTCGCAGCTGCCTTCCATCCCACCCGAAACCGCTCCCGCAGGCTCCATAAGCCGTTCTCTGCCAACAGATAAAAGACAGGTGCCTGGGGAAGGAAGAACTTGTTCCCTTCACTCTTTTTCTCCTTTCGCTGGACACTATTTAACATTCGTGCTTATTTTGTCAAGAAAATGGGTTAACGAAGCTCCCAAACCACGTCACGGCTGGTGCGAAACGCTCCGGCACGGGCATGACGTGGGATTGTCTGCCTGCCTCGTGGCCTGCCCAGCGCGGGCACTGCCTCCGCCGCCGTGGTGTCTTGTTCTCACGTACAGAACATAACGTCGATTATGTCTGGCTGTTCTTGTTTATTGTAAAGAAATCTTTCAATTGTATTATTTTCCAAGATCGATTTCTAATTTTGTGTCAGGCCTCGTTCATTTCATCATTAACAGTGAACAGAAGTTACTGAAGGCCACCAAGGACTGCGTTCGAATGGTCTGGTGGTGGTGCCATAATTTTTGTTTTGTTTCGTTTTTCCCATTTCTTTATCTGTTCATTCCTATTTGTCTCCATTTCCTACTCTCAATCCCCTTCCTATTCTCACTGGAGACTGTTCCAGTGTGTTGTATATGACTCGTTTTGCTTATCTGTCTTTTAAAATACATATTTTTGTGTGTTGGCATTTATTTTTGAGTTATATAACTGGTACTGTGTTATAGATTTTTTTTTCCTCCTCAGAACTATATGCTTTTTTTAAAATGTCACTTTATTATTCCAGGCTCCAATCCAGGATCTTACATGACATTTAGTTTTCATCTCTTTTTTTTCTTTTGATTGATATATAATTCATATACTACAAAATTCATTGAAGTACAATTCAGTGGTTTTAGTACACTTACAAGGCTGTGCCGCAGTCACCACTCATTCCAGACCCTTCTATCACCCCTGCAGGAAACCACTCATGTACTTTGTCTCTATGGATTTGCTAGATATTTCAAAACTCCAACTACAGTTTTTACTGGGATACATTAAATATATATTAACTTTAGGAAAATTTATACCTTTAAACATTGTCATTCCACCCGAGCATGAGATGTCTCTCCAATTATTTAGATCATCTTTTATGTCCTTTAGTAGAGTTTTAGAAAGTTCTCTCAAAGGATTCTTATTTATTCTTGGTAATGGTGGTTCCCACTACATTGTAACATTTGTCACTATAGTTTAACTATGGAATTTTGTGTTTATCTAATACTACTCTTTTTCACAAGTAGTTACATACTGAAACTCCAGAAAAAGTGTAATTCTCGTTGAGGGAGAGAGATACTTACCCATTGCTTTACTGCTTGAACGGTTTTCAGGTAAAATGCACCGAGATCATAGGCCTCTTTGGCATCATGGCATATTTAACTTTGAGAAGTACAACGGCTTTTAACATAGATTAAGTTGGAGGAGCCATGTGAGCATGGGTTGAAAGACTAAAAGTGAAAAGAAATAGCAACGATGGAAAGTTTTATTTCACCTTGAAGAAGACAAAAGACATGTAATTGAAAGAGTAAGCACCGATTTGCAGTGCCTTTTGCCCAGCAGTGACATCTGTCACCCTGAGGGGGCAGTAGAGGAAATTTTGAAATAGATCTAGTTATTTATACTCTCTTGTTCTGAAGTTGCTCTGGCCACACGAGTGAAGCCAAAAAATGTTCTAAATTGAACTCATACAGCGGTGCACATTATCTAATCTCCCAGTCACCTTGTTGATAGATGTCATTTTTTCCATGAGTGTCCATTCCCTTAGTAGTAGCCATGATTTACAATGGCAGGAGAATTCAGCTCTATAATGAACACTCAACTTCAGTGGCAGGTAACTTGAAATTGACATACACAGTAAACAAAGGTGGAAGAACTTCCAGGTATATAAGGTGTGATTCCTGTAATCAAGTCGACGGTCCAGCCGGAGAGACAGGTATTCACTTAGTCTCAGTGTGTTAAATGCCATGAAAACAGTATGCTTAAGGAGCCGGGTAGGATTTCACAGAGGAGGCGACGTTTTGAACAGGAGGGAAAGTGGAAAGGCAGAAGCGCCCAGGTGACACGTTTGAATGGTATCTCACGAGCAACACAAGGTTACCAGAGAGGTCTAACAAGGCAGCGGCACGTTTCGGTGTGTGAGCTGGGACTGGAGCTCAGGGAGCGGAATAAAGACGAGACTGGCGGCGAGGAGGCCAGTATAAGTAACTCGTTAAGCTAATTAGGGAACTAAACTCATGATAGTGATAGAAAAAGAGCAACAGACAAATGTCCAGGTCATGTTCCACTCTCCCATCCTGGAACACTCGATGTTGAAGAGGAAAGATGGCCCTTGGATAAGTTCCGCAAACGCTAGTCCCGCACCCCGACATCTGGTTCCCGCTGCGCAAACCCACCTGGACTCAGGAGCCCGGCAGCCAGAGGCAGCACTGGAAACCCCCAGGGCCACCACAGCCGGACCACGGGACATGGCCCTCCTCCTCCACCTGCTGTACTCCTGCCTGTGCTTTCAGAGTCCTCTCTAGCTTTCAGTTGCAAGAAGTTCTTAAAAATAATTTGTTTTTAGTCCCAAGAACTTGGAAGACAGCCTGATTCAGGCACAGAATCGTGTTGCGTGTAGTAGAGCCTAAGTTTCTGCTTCAATAGAAACTGCTTCCTGAACACGCGTATCCCTTGTCAAGGTCGGTCTTTCTCTGTTATAGTCCAAGATTCAGTTTATATCCGTTTCCACATGTTCCAACCTAAAAATGGCCTCTACATCAAGCATTTTTTTGCTAAATAAGGTAAATATTTCAGAATATACACTTTAAGAGAACTATAGCCCCAAATAAGACTTTATCATTTTGAGGATTATGATGATTATAATAGAAACATTTCTATAGTGAATAGACCAGGCACTGTTTTAATCATATATTTTTATATATAACTCTATGTAAAAATGAGGTAGCTATAACTCCCTTTCTATAGATGAGATGTTTGGAAGCACAGAGAATTTAAGTAATTTGCTCAAGAACACACAGCCAATAAATAACGAGGTCAGGCTTCCACCCCATCAGTCTTGCTTCAGAGTTCATGGTCTTAATCTAAACTATGCTCACTCTCTTTGATGTTTTAAATATCCTATGTTTGACATTTGGACAGGATAAAATATTAGAAAGTTTCAGCTTTAAAAATGGATCTGGCAGCCTGAAGAGTCTCTCATAACTGTCATCTCCTGCGACTCGCCGTCTAGCTCTGGCTGCTGTGCTTATTATGAGATCTGCCTTCAAAGAACAACAGGCGATCTGGAGCCGTTGCAGAGCATACAGAAACAAGTGTTACTTTGTTCTCACCTATGTTTGTGCTCTTAGAAAATAGCAGGAAAATCTTTACAAACATTTGTCAACACTCGGGATGGTTTTATGTTTGTCTTTGGTATTCAGTGCCAGGCAAGGTAACTGCTCCCGTATTAAAGATGCAGGTGCAAAGATGGGTGGATGGTTTGCAGACGTGCCTGTGTTCCAGCAGTCCTGGGTCCTGTCGCTGTCATCCAGAATGGTTTACCAGTTATGTGCTCTGGAGACCCACACGATGGGCTACAAGATGTCCTCGTGGTAACATTACTACTATGTTCGTTTCAGATTTTCTTGTTATATGAATGATCAAAACAAAGGTGGAAGAGGGAAGGTGTGTGTAGTAAGGGTTGCTAGTCTCTTCAAACATAAAACGTGCATCCGAAGCCACAGGGCAAGAGGTGACCATGTCCCACTCACTGTGCCATTGGAGTTAGTCACCAAAGTCGGTGACGCAGTAACCATTCGTTGTCTCGCTTTCATAGATCCACTTGGCCTTCACGTTTTTATGTACAAATTCTTATTTCTCTTGTTTTCTCATTTGAACAGAGCATCACGGTCCACCATCAGGAACAAACTCAGCCAGGCAAAGCCCAGCCCTGCAGCACAGGCCCATGGGACAGTCACAGGCCAACCACATACCTGGAGACAGGTGGGGCTGTTCTCAGGTTTTGGTTTGTGCTCTGATCCCGCCCCCCCCCGCCCCCCAGCCCAAGCCAGGGTGGGGTCCGAGTGAGCGCTCTTGGATTTCCCACCCTCCACCCGCTCAGGAACCGTTATCCCGCCCTTCCTAGCCCCAGCCCAGGGCACAGCATAATTATCCAGTCAGGCCTGACAAGTGGAGATTCGAAAGAAGCGACACGGGCACTGGCTCTGCTGCTCTGGACCCTCCTAATTTGGGGAGGGAAGCCCCAGACCCGTGTGGATTGCTGTCCTCTCAGACTGAGCAGGATTTGTACCTATTTCTTTCCTCTTCCGTTGAAAATATGAGCCATAAAACAAAAACTAGATCTCAGGAAACTCAGCATCTTCGCAGGTGTTGGTGGTGCAGGAGAGCTGTCTTTCACTGTGACGAGGTCAGCTTATCTGCTCTCTGGTTCAGCTACTTGTGTGCAATTTTCCCGGACGTTATCTGCACTGAGATGCCGTTAAAAACGGAGCAACATGGGGGCAGCTGGTAGACCACGCTGTGCCGTAGTTGAACGACCAGGTGTTTGCCTCGCATCTCTGCTTCTGGATGTAGTCTGTCATTGTAGCACTTTGTCGGGGAGAATGGCAAGGTTCGGCTTAAAAAAAAAAAAATTAAACCACCTATACTTTTACTGTTTTTCATTTTCTCAGTTCAGACAGAGACTGACTGATTTCTCTCTCGTAGAAGTGCCCTAGAAGGTGAGATCGGGAAAGACATCTCGGCTTCTTACAGACATTCGTGGTCTGACCACAAGCACCTTGCCCAGCCCGACACCGCGACAATTTCCATTGTGGGCAGTCGGCACAGTCAGGTGAGCGAAGACCCCATATGCGGGCTGCCGTCTTCATTTGCTGAATCACTGACCCTTGACGTTTTCTTGCAGATCAGCTCAGATAAATTTGTTCCCCAAATTAATAATTCTTGAGTACCTACTGTGTGTTTGCTTTTGGCTTCCGTAAGAGAATGCAAAGAGTGAGAGAGAAGTGTGCCCTGCAGAAAAGGAGAAATTCGAACCCTTGTTAAATACTTGGAAATAGCAGTGTTTGAGTTAAAGTAGGGTTTGAAATTTTTTTTTTTTTCGGGAAAATCAAAAGAACTTAAAACTTAAAGACCTTCCCGAAATTCTGGTTTCTCATTGTTCTATTGCACAGTGACCAGCTAGTAGAGAAGGCATATGATCTTCAGATTAATTTAGGCTGCATTTGTAAAAACTAAGTCGCCCATCACCCCAAACTTCCATTCCTTCCTTATGGTTTAGAAATTATTTCTCCAGCTATAAAGGTCGTCTTCCTTCCAAACCGCGGAGGAGGCCGTCCACGACAGCTTGTCGCGCTTCCATTTCTCGCTCCAGGGCCTCGGCTGCTGCGCAGTGGAGCTGGAGCGAGGCCCGCGGGGCTTCGGCTTCAGCCTGCGGGGCGGGAAGGAGTACAGCATGGGGCTCTTCATCCTGCGTCTTGCCGAGGACGGACCTGCGCTCAAAGACGGCAGAGTTCACGTGAGTTGGCTCCTGGACGTGCCCTTTGGTGCTGACTGGAAGCTTCTGGAAATAGTTGATGGCAGGGGATGTAGAAAGCCCTTCCGTCACCGAAGCCTGAAAGGCAGACGCTTGCCATTTCCCCTCCTTCCTCTCCAGTCTACCATGCTGTGCTGCATACATCTGTACTTGTGTCTGTGCCTGTCATTCCAGGACGTGGCGCCTTGACTATTCACAGTAGGTGCTCCATGGATATTTGTTGAAAGAATAGAGTGGATGGGTAATGTTTCTAGCTCATCAGATAACTTTTTTTGAATACTGAAGATGCTCTCCCAGAACCTTCTACTGGGTAGACAGGACCTGGGTGATGTGAAACGATGAGCAAACAATATAATAGTGTAATTCAGCAAAACAGAAAATGTTAACTTTAATATAGATGGAAAGGTGTTGAGTCATTGAGTCTCTAAATTTAGTGAGTCTGAAGCTGGTTCTTGAATCTGGCTTAAATTTAGAGAGGAGAAGAAGGTTGTGGGCTAAGGAAATGAGAGTCAGCTAAATGGAAAAGTTCCTATTAGGGACCAGTGTCACACTTACATGTTTAACATAGAACAAAGTCTGATTTAGAAAAATCTTTACATGTTTTCACATATATTAGTTGTAATCTCACAAAAGACGCTGTGAGATAGGTCCCATGATCCCCCCTTACAGATTTAAAACTGAGGTTTACGGAGACTAAGTCCCTTGCTGGGCCCACTCAGCCTGTGACCGAGGCCCGTCATCCTCTAAGCCCAGCGTGTGTGCCTCCCATGACTGGCCGTGGCTCGTGTCCGTTTGTATTTGATTCCTTCGGGAGCATGTAGGTTCTTAACAGGTTATGAGATAATGCAGGCGATGTGTTAGAAATGTTATTTGTACCTTTAATACATTTTTAGTGGATGTTTTAAAAACCGCAAGACTGTCTTAAAAATAGTGACATTTTTTTAAAGGAACATAATTTTTTCCCTATCCCTTCTTCCTACTTTTCTCCTCCTTTTGATTCTGTTCTCATTCTTTTCTCTCTTCTTGTCTGCCCCCCGCCCCAGTTTTTGCAATACAGACCTGAATTTGTACTATTAAAAGATGTAGTCCCCATTTTATTATCACATTTAAAAATTTTAAAGTAACAAAGTTGTAAAAGGTTTACATTTCCCTCTCAAAGGTGCCATTTTTCTGGCTGATATCTTTGTACAGACCGTTACCGAAGGTGTTCCCTCTCCGAGGGCTTATCGCATAAATCTTAAAGCCATGGCTGTCTTCTCCTTCCCCCCAGTTTAGCTTTAAAGTTAAACAAAAATGACACCTGGTGGCAAATCTGTTCAATTACAAGTTTTATTGCAATCTGTTGTGCTAAAACAATAATATACAGGTTTGGACAGTAAATTTAAGCCAAAGAATGTGATCGAAATTATAACTTCAATGTTCTATACCCAAAGTATGCTCCAAATACTGTCTACTATAATTTTTATTCTTCTAATTTCCAGCAGGATTACATATCTAGTGCTAATTTGTCATCTGTATTTCCTCATGAAAATGGTTTATCTTCAATCACTTAAGAGAAATCTGGGTGCTCATTTTTGTCTCACTTATATATTCTGGGGATAAGAGTTCTCATTTCCTCCATGGTTGCCATCTAACTCGTTGCTTTTAATTATCTCTACTTTACATGCTAAATCCATTGATCTTTTTTTCATAAATATGCAACAAAAACACTTATTCTATTTCATAGTTTACTTGAAATTTTTTGCATCGTAGTCTACAGTTAAATTCACACTGAAGTACTTTAAATTTGAGAGGGGACAGAAAATGGATAACTTGAAGTTAACATTTATTTGTGCTTGGTGTTTAATCATGTTTTATCTCATTAAATCCAGCTACCCCAAGAGGTCCGTACTGATTATTACCCATCCCATTTAAGAGAGAGGGAAATGGGCCCACTCTAGGGGGTGCAGCCAGGAGTGAGTCACGGAAATTATGACTCCAGAACCCAGTGTCCTAGCCCCTGCGGTCAGTTGTCCCACCAGTCTTTGTTAAATAATTATCTAGTCTATTGTGTCATTTCTGGATTGTTTTAGTAAGCTTATATTTGAAATGCTTTTTGAAATTTCAGTTGTTCAGTTTTTAAGTCCATACCCTTGAATTGCTTGTCACTTTGAAATATATTTTAAAATCACTACCATCATTATCTTTAATCAGGCCATCTGTAAAAGTTATACTTGATTCGTCCATATTTTTCCTTGAAAATAACAGATACATCTAGTAGATAGCGATGGTACCGAGGCATCTTATTCTGATTCCCCTAGTTAATTGTTTCCGAGGGAAATCATCTACACTAAATCATCAAGTAGGAGCCAGCTATTGGTTTTAAATAAGTATTCGTGTTAATAGTCTCCCAGGTGAATTTTTTTAAGTTTTATCTGAGTCTTTGAGTCTCGATTTCAAGATGCCTAGATTCTACTTTCTAGTCATATAAAACTCTCCCATGTAGGATTTTATAGAGTAAATTGGACGTTTTCTCTTCCTCGTGCTACCGTCTGTCTGCTCCTCAACTCTAGCATGATAGCATTGTGACGAGTTAAATAGTTCAGAAATGAGAAAGGCGCTCAGCAAAGCTGAGCAGCTCTAGAGTTGACAGAAGCAAAGCTGACGAAGGCTGCTTCGTTTCATGTTGGTCCTGTGACTGTCCTGCCTAGGTTGGTGACCAGATTGTTGAAATCAACGGAGAACCGACACAAGGCATCACACATACTCGTGCAATCGAGCTCATTCAGGCCGGTGGAAATAAAGTTCTTCTTCTCTTGAGGCCAGGGACTGGCTTGATACCTGACCACGGTAAGTGAGGTAGCTCAGGTGTAGCTGAAAAGTTAAGAGTGTGTTAGGGAGGGGGCAGCAGGAGGGAAAAAAATGTCTGAGTCAAAGGTAAACACCAGAACCATCTAGTTACACAGCATAATTTTAAATAGTGGTGTAGAATAAGTGGCTTCAGGCAATGAATATATGTCAAGCTAATTTAAGTAGAAAATATATTGGAACAGAATATATGTCAAGCTAATTTAAGTAGAAAACAGTTGCTTCTTTAGGGAAATGTGCCTGTAAAAAAAGGACATTAGAGGCAAATGATTTGAAAAACATTTGAAATCTCTTCAAATGTTATTTCTTTTAAGTTGGTCTTGATAAGTAGCAAAACTTTAGGCTTTTATGGTCACTTGTCAAAAGCAAATTGCTGTGTAGCCCCACCTGGAGATAAGGTATGGGCGCAGTGAGCTCGTATCTCCTTGGCTTCATGGTGTTTTTGAAATATCACAATATCAAAGTCACCATTTTTTTAATTGAGTACACTTGTCTAGAAGTGGGGTGCCACACCACGTAGAACTTGTCCCTTCCGGGTTCCTCCCCAGTGGAGCTGCTGAGGGATAAGTGCAGGCATGCCCGTCCCCGGTCCCCTTCCAGCCTGTAACTCTGACTGTGTTACCTGCCACCACCTGCTTGTAAACATACGTTCCCGGTGACATCTTTGCTAACTGCGCTGTGATTTTTTTTTACATAGTCCTAGGCTTTTTCTCTTCCTTCTTCAGGTTTGGCTCCTTCCGGTCTGTGCTCCTACGTGAAACCTGAGCAACATTAAGGCTTTCAGGGCTTTTCTTGGTCTTTCCTTAAAAAGACTTGGTAAATTTGCATGTCTTGTAAATCACTTCCTCCTTTTTTAATTAAAAATGGTGCTATTAAATACATCTACTTCTCTCTTCTGCACTTTTCAGTTTCCTTTTGACATTAAATTTGACAGCTTAATACAAAACAATTATATATGCCCATGACCTCATTCTGGTTACACAGTTCGGTCTCCTTTATTAGTGATTTTGGCATATCCTTAAGCTGTATTTCCATTGATAGTAGCTAAGGTTAGTAAGCCTCTTAGACCAGGTAATTTGGTCTAATTTTAAGGTTTTTTTTCTGGGCTTTACTACTTATAATTTATACATCATCTATCACTAATTATACATAAGTAATTGGATAAATGAATACTGTTATTTTGTGTATATATAAACAACCTATTTTTAATGTACAAGTACAGCTGTCTGTATCCACCTGCCTTAATAGATATGTAAACGTATATAAATATAAAATACTGATTCAGGTTGTTTAAGCAGTCAGTACAAGTCTCAGGGCTGTCAAAGTTCAAAACTTATTGTTCCTATTTACAATTCTAAAATTTAACAATGTTCTACTCAAATCACTTTTTTTTTTAGGTGATTGGGATATTACTAACCCTCCATCTTCAAATGTGATTTATGATGAACAGTCACCATTTCCCCCACCTTCACCTTCTGCTTCCATATTTGAAGAGTCTCCCATGCCAGCAACCGAAGGACCTTTGCTGAGAGTTCAGATATGTGAAAAGGCAGAAGACTCCAGGGACATTGTACCTGAAAAGAAAAGCACTTTAAATGAAAATCAGTCTCTTCTCCAGCAAACTGTGAGCAAAAGGGATCCACGCAGCAGTCTTGGGCACAGTGACAAGAAAAATCTCTTAAAAGCAGAACATGGAGTTACACAAAGAGGAAGGTCTGCTAGTCCCAAAAAGTCAGCCAGTCGCTACTCAGAGGAACATTTAGAAAAGATCTCCAGTCCTCTAAAAAATGACCCCAAGAGACGACCCAGAGATCGATCACTGAGCCCCAGGAAAGGGGAGACTAAAAGTTGTCAGAGCTACCCTAGGGAAGGTTCTGGACACGATCATGGCAGGAAAAGCAGAGGACGGTCTTCGAGCCCAAAGCAGCAGCAAAAACCCGAAGGAAACAAAGACCAACCGAATGCCGAAGCCAAATCCTTAGCGGCTGAGAGTCGGAGAGCAGCGGGCCGTGCGAGGGACAATGCTGAGCAGATCTCAAACGGGAAAGAAAAACCGGCTGTTATCAGGAAGGATACAAAGCAGAGTCCGCCTGGAAACCGCAGAACAAGGTCACCAGAGAAAAAGAGCAAGAGAATAGATGAAAAGCCTCTTTCCTCCAAAAAGACTAACCACCCTACTAGCAGAGTAGTATCCGAAAATGAAAGAGGAAAGAAAGCAACCTTAGGAGAAACAAGTTCTAGTAAAGAGAAAATAGAAAATGTCAGAACGTCAGAAAAGAAGGTGAAGCAGGAACCTGAAGAAAGAACAACAGTTTCAAACAGAACGGAAGATCCCAAAGGAAGAGAACCCGAGGCAAAGAAAACAATCACCCCGGGGCCCTGGAAGGTGCCAAGTGCAAGGAAGGCCGCGGGCACTGCTGCTGTGGCTGAGAGACGGCTGTGACCTTTAGCACAACACAAAGGAAAACAAGTTGTAATCTTTTCTTACTAAAAAGCACCATTTTTCAAAAGAAAAAAGGTCATCTTTTTCAGAAATTCTGAAACACATACACGTGTAATTTGATTTGAGCATCAAGTCACCTAGGCTGCATGACAGGCCTTTAGGTTTGCTAAGAACCCACTGTCCCCCTGGCTGGCTGCCCAGCTCGTCGTCATGAGTGTCTCAACACATGACGTATGTTGATACTAACAACACGGTCACAGCTCTGTATTTGTGCCCAGTTATCTACTGCATCATGTCGTTTTCTCCTTATTACTGAGATATTTCCACAGTAATAAAAACGTTAGGTTCAGCTTGGAAGTTGATATTCTCAATAGCATGTTGCATGTTTACAGAGAGAAATATTTGAGTCCTTACAGGAGAGATTGTCGACGCATCATTAAAGATGGTGGTGCCTCTTCTAACAGCTACTGATGATGTCCCAGTTTAAAAACAACTGAAACATCACTACTGTAAAGGGAAAAAAAATGTAGTTAAATATTGACACTGTTTTATGGTTTTGTATTTTAATTCGGCGAGGTAAGGTATTTCAAATAACTGTTAAAGATATTACTTACAATTGAATGTTCAAAATGAGAAAGTACTTTGAGTTCACCTACTGTGTTATCCAGCCCTGATGTAATTATAGCGTCTCAGATCACCCAGTTCTTTCATTATAAAACCACGAAGAAGCGTGTGGAAGTAGTGCTTAATGCTATTTGAAAGAACTACCAAATTCCTATTTCTGGATATTTTGGTTATACCTCCTACTAAGTCATTAGTCGTTACTAGATAATACATATTTGAAGAGTCAAAATATATTATGTGAAAGACTTAATCATGAAACTAGTTTCAGAGTCCACTGCCAGATAAAGTACCAACTCATCTGGTGGCAGCTGACAAGTTCGGGTGTTTAAGAACAGAACCCTTGTAAGACCTGCTCAGCAGGTAAGGACAAACTTGGTGACAGACAGTTCTTGCTAAATCTCAATTTTAATTTCTAGCTACATTAACTTTCTTGTTTAACAAGAAATGGAGACTAAACATCTGCTTAGCTCATACAGATTTTCAGAGTTTTTTTTAAAGTCTAAAGATGTTTATTGGAAGGTAGAGACGGGTTTTAATTCCATAAAATAGATCTGGCTTTTTCAGTCCCCTGAAGCAGCATCAGTGGCATCTATAAATAAAGGAACTTCTCAGAATAAAACCATTTTATGGAATATTTGAACATACTTGTTCTGTCACCCTGGGTTCATCTTGTTATTGTGAAACACATTATGTCCAGGTCCTTCCCTCTCAGAGTCTGACTGTGAAACTCTTTAATGTAAAACGGAATCGGCCCCTGTAGATAAGACATGCTTCCCAGAGTAAGAGTTTTGAAATCCCCTTTTCATCCAGAACTATATTTACCCCTGTATTGTAACTACCTGAATAGAGCAAGATTAGGAGGCTTGATAAATGCTAAGAATTTAGTACCACAGAAATGATTTATTTTCCCTATAGTCTACAATTAGTGATAAAAAGCCTATTTTTATTGTTAACTGTGACATAACTTTGATGTCATATGTTGTCAGTCTGATGTGGCTCTTTTCCTTTCTATGTAACCTGTCACTGTACTGATTATATATTGACTTAGCAATGTGGCCTTGGAATGCTAAGCAAAATATGGATGTACTGGTTGTAAATGTTTATATATTGTACAGTACCTTTATATATACACACTTGAAGTTCTGATTAGAGAAAGAGATCTGTAAATCGCTCGTTATTTTTTATATAGATATTAAAAAAACAAAAAACGATTCATGGCCTCCATTTCTTCTACTGTTAGGCTTATTTAATGTTGCTTTCTATTTGTAGAGCTAATTCTCTTCACGGTCTGAGTCCTCACATAGATTTGGTCCTTCCACGTAGCGCAAACAGCCCTACAAGCAGGAAGACCCTCATCGTGATGACTTTATGTTAAGCTTACAATTGGTTTGAGTTAAATATACCTATTTTATATCTTCCATTGTAAAGAAAAGAGCTTTGCATAAGCTCATTTCTAATGGCCAGAGGAGGATAACTCCAGTTGTGACAGGGTCACAAAATTCTCTCTCATCAGAATCTGGCATTTCACATTATTTTTAAGTCATTCTATTTACTAGAGGTAACACTTTTAGAATGAAGTGTTCTGACTGACTTCTTGGTATGAATAATGCCTAAAACCTATTTTGAGACTAAAGTTACTACTTTTGAGGGGAAAAATTAATTCCTACCATTGCATGAACTCCCACTAGGAATGAAACCCCAGCCCTGTAATGGAGAGGGGTGTCGCAGGAAAGGCAGCAAAATGGTTTTTTGTTGGTTTAGTGGACATATTTCCTTACTGATCAAAACAGCAAAAAAAAAAGTTCTGGGAAACTCTTGCATGGCCTCACTGGAAAGATTAGACTCAGATCCTATAATACTGTCTCCTACCCTAGTTACATCAAATGTTATTGATCCAGTAGCGTTTGAACGGAGTCAACTCCTGTTTCAGACGTCCCGGACACTGGAAAGCATATGGCTTTTTGTTTCTACATGAGACTATCTTGGTTGTTTCCTTTTCTAATACTAAGATATTCTCACGTAGAAAAAGCCAAATGCTTTTAAACATGTGAACACGTGAATTTCATGTGTTTAATAGGTCCAACATGCAAAGAGAACTGGGTTTTAAGAAAGCCAGGAGTATGCAAATTAAAACGTGTGACAGACTGATGGCTTCCACAAAGACGTGTTTAAGCTGAAGCTCGGTCCACACTGTGTCCCTGGGGCTGCGGAACACGAAATGTGATGTCTTGATCTGGTGCTAAGAACACATCAGAGCAACTTTTTATGTCCTCATGGCATGCTCCGATGCCTAAGAGCTATCTGTGCTTTTTAAAACAATAACAGGTTTACTTATTTAGGCAGCTCTTTACTAGTCATGTTATTAAGGTCTATCAGCAATACAACGACTGGTTTAAAGCATGCCATAATTATTACATGATATCTATTATCTTTGCTCTAGTTAACCAAGTAAGTTTAAGATATCTACCAGCTTGGATCTGTTGATGTTGCAAGTAGAGCCTTAAGAAGTGTAAGAAGGGAGTATGAAGGCCTAAGAATGGAATTCTGTCTACTAGAGAACGCGAGTCTTTCTCAATATACATTTAAAATACAAAAACACAGCCAAAGGCTTTAATTTAGCCTAACCCTCTATTTTGACAATCCTATGGGTATTTGTCTATTTTACAATGTTTCCATTAAAGTCGAGCAGAACTATTAGCAAATACACAAATCAAGAGCCTGATTTTGTCCTTAATAAATAACTGTTTGTTACCTTATACAGCTTGTAGGGCCATGACGAGCTGCAGGAAAGGAACTGAAGTGTTGCACATTTGTGAAATTCAAACTTCATTATTCAAGATGGGCATCAATAACTGCAAAAAGCAAGAAATTACTTTAAATGACTAAACTAAATACATTGTAGATGAGATTAAGTTCAATGAGTTTACTTCTTGATAACCCCAAATCACATGTTATATTTGAAAGTGAGACCCATTTGGCCCATTATTAGTATGCAGGTCTAAAAAATTTCAAAAATGAATTTTATTAATTTGAAACATTATTTTTACAGTGCATAGGTCCACTTACCTCTAAATGCAATGAACCAAAAATAAAAACATCCATCAGCTTATACTTTGTGAGACATACTGGTATTGAGAATTTTTCTACATGTCTCTGAAAGTCAAGAAAACCATACCCCAATTAGGCAAATATTTGGTTATTCAACTTTTCAGTGTTTAGATTATACATGGACCATCATGTACATATTGAGGAAGTCTGAGGTTACACCTCTAACAATTTTAGGAGGGCTAACTTTTCCTAATACGATAAATTATAAAATTAAGGGAACAGGTATTTTTCTTATCCTTTTATGGTTATTACTATTCCAATAAAATGTATGAATAGCCTGTTTTTACATCTCCATTTAGTTTCTCAGCAAAGGTAAACATTAATCAAAGCATATTATATCTCACTCCTTTTTTGAGATCAAAAGCCCAAGTTCTAGAAATTATTATACCGGGATAAATGAAGCACTGAGGATAGGAGAACCACCAAGTTAAATTCCTCCATCCTAACAGGAAAAAAAAAAATTGCATGAATGGTAAATTACTTGAGGTCTATTCTTCATTCATTCTACAGATTTATATCAAGTATCCATTATGGGGTCAGTTACTTACTGTTCCGCGTTCTGGGGATCTAGGAGTGAATTAAAAAAGTCTCTGTCTTAAGGGACTTGCATTCTAGTGAATGACAGAAACAGGAAAAAAAATAAGATAATCAGATTGTGACTAAATGCCATGAAGGAAATGAATGGGGCTATATAACTGACAAGACAGATGAGATGTGGAACTACCCTAACCTGGGCCATCAGAGGAGGCCCTAAGGACCCAGCTGAGAAGCTACTCAAGGGAGAACCTAGAAAAGCATTCGAGAATTTGGTATAGTGGGGCACAGAGAAGGCCCGGGTGGCAGTAAGGCATGGAGGAGGTGAAGGTGGAAAGGGAAACAGGCTTGATAATGAAGGACCCTGGAGGCCACCGCAGGGGAGCCAGGCGGCGCTTTTGCACTGATACAGTTTCTGTATTTCTAAGCTCATTCATGGGGCTATGGAGAACCAACTGTGGGAGGCGAGAACGGAAAGGGAACAGTGGTCAGCAGAGTAGCCCAGAGGAAAGGGAAGGCGGCTTCACCTAATAACAGTGGGATGTAGAACCGACACAACTTGGTGGTAGATTAGACATGGAACAAAAAGGGAACCGAGAATATACCTTGAGCAGCTGGGTAAACTATGTTCCATTTACTAAAGTGGGGAAAACATCTACTCTTCCACCTTAAACAACTGCGGGGGGAAACACGA